GTCTACAGTTTCCAAGAGACTACAGACCAGTACACCAAAAAAAAGCTAATAATCACAATAGACAGAGAAAGAAAAATATTCCACTATAAAACAAATTTAAGCAGTATCTACCAATCCAACTCTACACATGGCACTAGAAGAGAAAAATAAGTCTGAAAAGGTTAACCACAGCCATGAAGGCACAAGAAATGAATAACTCCAGACCATAAATCAAAAAAGGGGAAGAGAGTTCACACCATAAAAACCAAAATAGTAGAAATAATAAACACTTCTCAATTCTAACTCTTAATTTTAATGGCCTCAATTACCATTTAAAAAGATATAGACTAAGAGATAGGATTCATCTTTCCACTGCATCCAAGAAACACACCTTAATATTAAGAATAGACATCACACCAAGTAAAAGGTATATAGCCATTTTAATGTATGACAAAATTGACTTCAAACCAGACCTAATCGGAAGATATAATGAAGAACACTGAATACTCATCAAAAGAAAATCTGCTAAGAGAATATCGCAATCCTAAACTTTTTTGTGCCAAGTTCATAAAGGAAACACTGCTACAGCCAAAATCACATATCACATTGTGACAAGGGCTGTGGGTTGACTATGTTGACTCCATTTTGGTACCTAAGATAAACTTTTTCTTTCTGATTGCTAATAATGGGAAAGAAAAACTTAAGAAAAACAATTCTGGGAAGAAAAATTAACTCAATGATATAGGCCCAAGGATCTCCCTTGATCTTGGATTGGGAGAATCAACATAGTAAAAATGGCAATTCTACCAAAAGCAATTTATAGATTCAATACAATCTCCATCAAAATCCCATCAAAAATCTTCACAGATCTTGAGAGAACAATAATCAACTTTATGTGGAAAAACAAAAAACCCAGGATAGCCAAAACAATCTTATACAATAAAGGAACTTCTGGAGGCATTACCATCCCTGACTTCAAACTCTATTACAGAGCTACAGTATTGAAAACAGTTTGGGATTGGTATAAAAACAGAGAAGTCGACCTATGGAATTGAATAGAAGACCTGGATATCAACCCACAAACCTATGAACACCTGATTTTCGACAAGGGGGCTAAAAGTATACAATGGAAGAAAGAAACCATCTTCAACAAATGGTGTTGGCAGAACTGGATGTCAACCTGTAGAAGAATGAAAATAGATCCATATCTATCACCATGCACAAAACTCTAGTCCAAATGGATTAAAGACCTCAATATCAATCTAAACACACTGAACCTGATAGAAGAGAAAGTGGGAAGTACTCTACAACACATGGGCACAGGAGACCACTTGAACAATGGTCTGCTGATCATAGCAGCTGCTTTGAGAGCAAGGATGGTGTCAGTGGAATAGAATGGAAGAGGCTGATCTTAAGGTAGCAGAATCTCCCGTGCTCATTACTATAGTAAAAACGGCCATCCAATAAAAGCAAACTACAGATTCAACACCCCATCAATATTCTTACATAGTCATTCACAGAAATTGTAAAAACATTTTTCAGCTTCATCTAGAAATATATACATACACAAACATATGCAGACATACACACAGACACGTGCACACAGATATACACATGTTCATAAATACACAATGCATGCAAACATGCACACATATACATACACCCTCACTCACACATAAATATATAATAAAAATAGAAAAACAGAAAAAAAGAGAAATGTTGGACATATGACAATGATCCAGTGACCACCAGCTGGAGTGTCTACAGTTAGACAGATGGGAGAACTAACAAGGCTTCTTGTGACCCTGGGAAAGTAGAACCAAGGACCATGCCCAATGCTCTGCTGGTCAGAGCAGCTGCTTTGAGACTAAGAATGGTGTCAGTGGAATATAAAGGAAGAGGCTGATCTTAAAAATATTTTTATGGACATTCTTCAGTATCTGGTGACATAAAACAACATGCTAACAAGAACGTCTGAAAGACGGCACTGGGGTTGAGTCTTGGCACCAGAAAGGGGGGCTTGTAGCTGTCATGAATGTAGTGTGTCCTGGACAATAGTATATAATCCTGAGGAATTCAGTGCTCAAGGACGAAGGGAAAATCTTTCAATTTTGTCTTTATTGAGAGGAAAGAATGTGAAGTCTATTTATACAGAACTGATACTTGACCATTGTTGGTAATGGAACAGTCTGTGTACATGGTTGTACAACAAGGAGAATTATGCTTGTGATGAGACTTTGAACTTTGAGGACATCTCTGCTTTTTATTGAGGGCATTGAAGTGGTGGAATAGGTCCTTTGGGAAAGAATTAAAAGAGAAAGGCATTCTGGTGTTCATAATCAAGAAAAGAAACAAAACAAGTGGGAAGAATTGAGAAGGTCTCTAGTGAAATGAATATGCATAAATTAAAGCCAGAAAAGGAAATGGTGTTTGCAATAGCAGAGGTTTAAGTAAATAGGCAACTTGGTAAAATGAGTTGGTATGACAGATGTATAAAATTAAACACTCTCTACATCAAGATCAGTGGATTTTGCCTGTGTTGGAATTTAGCTGGATTTTGTTTTCATCTTATTTCTCACTTCCCTGCATTCTACTTTTGGATCCTAGCTGTTAGGAATGGTCAGAGAGATGCCATGGTTGCTGACCTGGAAGACTGAGAAAGAACTGAGGTCCAGGAAGCATCCGCATCTAGAACAGGCAAAGTTCAGAATACACACCCTTGCCTTTAGCCCAGCTCTGTGGGTACTTTGGTTCAGTTCAGACTCATGTTTTATTGTACACCACTAAACTTTCAGTAGTTTGTTACAGTAGCATGTAGGGAACAAATACCCAGGATGGGAGGACCTCAGTTATGTCCTGATGTGGAGAGATGATGACGATGGTGGTGGTGATGGTGGTGGTGGTGGTAAGAAAGGGGGAAGGGTGGGAGAGAGAGAGATTCCCTGAACAGTCAGTTAAAGTGAATAGAGATGACACAGCTGTGGCAGTAAAAACTCCAATATAGTTAATCCGCAGAATTGTGAAAACTTTTCCCAGAACACTAAGATTTGGGAGTAGTTTGTGATTTCACATTAGATAAGATGATAGATGAGCCCTGATTCTGGTCAGTATAGAAAGAGGCGTCTGCTGTACAATATTTCTTCTCTGAGGAGTGAGGAAATCAGATGCCGTGTTTCAAGGCTGTTTCCTCTAGACAATTGGCTAAGGGTATTGTGCCAGTAATATGGCCTCTGTTCCAGAGAATTATGAAGAAAAAAAATCTGAGGGTGAGGACCCTCCAGCATTATCCACAGTTAACCAGTTTTCCCTTTACCAGGCAGCTGACTTTTCCTCTGCTTGACATGGTGTCTACAAATGACTTACTACATCTAAATTATCAGTGAGTGGTCAATAAGGGAAAAAACAAAAAACGTGTTTGTTTAAGCAGAAAGAGATTGAAGATGGAGAATTAGAGAACTCTATAACTGTAGTCTTGAGGACACCAACTTGATGGCGTCATCTAAGTTCTGGTTGCAGTGAAGTGTTCAAGAATTAGAAGTTCTGGCTGTTCAAGAACACATTGGCCCATTATCACCGGTTGCCAGCAGCACAGGTGCAAGGAATTTCCAGGAAAGTTCCGGTAGGAAGCTACTTGAAGCCTTTTCTGTGCAGAACTCCCAGACCTGCCCATCAAAGCTAAGGATGACAGCAGTTCACATTTCCCATTTGAAACCGTGCAATATTTTGGACCTTCTTGTCACATGCGAATGCCACTTGCCTCAAGATAAGAGGACACACTCTCTCCAAGATTTCAACCTCTTAAATGCAAAGAAGAATTCAGAAGGAGAGAATTGAGTTGCTTGTCAGGGACTGGTACACTGGGGTACCACCCCCTTTGATCTTCTGAGATGGGGATTTCTGAAAGTCTCACAGCTCACATTTGTATTTAAAGCTCCCAGTAGGCATTCTGACTCAGTCCCTCCTTTGATAATTTTAAGAATAGACCTGCGAAGTAGGAATTAAGGTCATAGTTAGGAAACAATTGTTAACAAATACCTGCAAGATTCTGGAAGATGCTGCTGGCCTTGGGGTATAGACTTGGTGATCAACACCTAAATTTTCCTGAACTAAAACCCATATATTGTGATCCTATGTGATTCCAGGTAAACCTAGATAATGGACCATGTTTAATACAGTAGTAAAGAATGCAGACTTCACACACTTGAGATGTTCATCCTTATGTTGATGGCCCAAACACAGATACATCTCAACTGAGGGCTGGGTAGAGGACTGTAGCCTCCCATGTGATCCATCCCCAAGTCGTCTTGGTCACTGTTATTAGCCAGGGTGACCACCTGTCCTGGAATGTGCAAGATCGTGGGTTTCCTGCCACATGGGGCTTCAGTCTTAAAGTCTCCTAGGTAGCTTTTTTGGTGATTTTAAAGTTTATTATCCAAATCAGCACACTGAGAATGAAAGGCAAGACAGACAGGTAGATAAAATGAAAGAAAATGAAAAGAAGGTAGGAAAGAAAGGAATGTAAGGAAGAATATTATGTTAAGGACATTGATTTCTGCATTGTGGACAATAAAGATTTCTTCCAATACCCTAGGTACAGAGATATTGAAAGTATAAGAGGCAAAATAACTTTTGTGACATTTGGGGTGTTAAAAGGTCCTCACTGTACTCTGCCAAGAGTGGAAAATACCTGATCTATAGCATCAGAAATGGGGGTCTGTTTTTCTGGGAACTTCAATCTTCCTGGAAGAGAGGGCTGATATAGCTGGGCAAGGATATAGGACTCCTTAGTACTGGAAGTACCATGGCTAGTCACACAGGGATAAAAGTCTGAACCCAAGTCACTGTACAGCACATACCCTTGGTTCTCAGATGACAACAGACTTTTTATTTTAACCACAACGGAGAGCTTAGTGTTATCAAATGGTGGCAGCACAGAGCAATGTGGAATACAGAGGGTGACAGAGGAGTTTTATCAGGAGACTGGCACTGAGGGAAAGAAATACTGAGTATTGGAAAACCCCTGTCCATCAGTACAGCTGGGTTGGTGCTGCTTCCTGTTTCTCAGGAAACTATCCCAAAGAACCCAGCATTTGCCTATGTCTGTGCTTATGGTCTTCATTCCCTTTAATATACTTGCAGGAATATATTTCCTGGGAACCTTGAGGCCACCAAAAGAGCAAAGGTGAAAAACAGAAGAGGAAGGAAAAGCCAGCGGCACAGGTGACGTGGATGCAGAGACTCAGGTTCTTGGTGATGTGGAAGGCAGGTGAGGAGGAGGGCATGGGCTCTCAGCCGTGTTTTACGGTGCTCTGTTTCTTGTCTGTGGGACTATATGATCCGCACAAAGCTCCTCTCTCAGAACACTGCAGAAGTGCTATATGTCTAAATATAGATTTGTGTAATCATTGCAGATAAAACACTCTCATAAGTGCATTTATCACAATGCATGCAGCCTGTCTACTAGAGATGGGCACACAGTTATTTCTAATTCTTAATAACATATCATATTACAATAAATATTTACATGTTAGGCACATATCCTTGATAACTTTGCTAAGTTTACCAGTTTTCAGGATACACCTTTTGAAGTGGTTTTGGTCCTGAGGTCATCTGTTAAAATTTCTCATATAGACTGTTTAGCTCCATAAACACACAGAAAATTTAGGAAATCCATCCGTTGGCTTTTCTACCACAGAAATGTTTGTAGTCAGTCTTGTTAATAGAGGTCATCACCATCATTTCTGGTATCTCTTTGCACACCTAATAAAAAAGTTGGCTTATAATCACTTTAATTTTTGTTGTTTACAACTGGTGAGAGTAAGATCTTGTTTCACATTCTCATCTGTTTTTATTTAATTGGGGGTATTTGTGTAACTTGTATCCTATAATTAAAATATACTTCCTTCTTATAGATTTTATTTATTCTTCTCCAGATTCTCATGTGTTTTTGCTTTATTGTTGTATACCTGACATGCCAGAGTTCTGACTTATTAGTTAGGAAAAGGTGTTGTCATATTTCTTCTAACTTTGGAGGTTTGGTGGTGTAGGTTTAAAGTGGCTGAGAAAGGATGAAAGTTACAGTCTGGAGAGATGTTTCAGTGAATAAAGTACTCATAAGTGCATGGACACATACATGTATGTATGTAAGTATGTATACATTTATGAATGTATATATGTGGAGAAAAAGCGACAGACATAGAGGGATAGAAGGGGGGACGGAGAAAAAGAGAGAGGATCTGTCTCAAACCAAAGCCTATCTTCATATTTAGATTTTAAGCAGAACCTCCATTTTAAAGGTCATAATTCCTCACTCATAATTTTAAATGAATTTGAAATTTTGGTCAATTTATTGGTCAGAGTTCTTAGTTGCAATATTTAGAAGTAAGTCTGTCTAACCCAAAAATGAAACAATGTATTAAAATGATGTAGTATACCATCTGACTAAAGGATACTCATTATCATAGAAGCTAAATATGTTTTGGAGATCTGTGCAGTACAGTGCCCATAGTTACCAGTACTTTAACGTACTTTAATAGGTGGTAAAATTTCCTAAGAAAGTGTATATTTTTTATATTCACCACCAATATTTAAATGCATTTAATCATTTTTGAAGGTTGAGATGAGAAATCCTTGGAGGTACTAGGTGCATTTATGATCTTGACTGTGGTGGGACTTTGGCCAGAATACTATATTCTTGTTTCTAAACCTGTGAGATTATATACATTAAAGAATTACATTATTTGTATCTATTCATACTTCAAAAATGATGTTTTTAAAAGGAGGCATGCAACAATTTGGGAGGTGCCTCAGTGGATAAAATACTGGCATTTATGAGAGCTGTTCATATCCTGAGATCCCTTGTAAAAGTCAGGCAGGCACGACAGCCACTTATACCACTAGCACTTACACAATGACAGGGATCCCTGGGCAAGCTGGATAGTTAGATTAGTCAAGATTGGGTTCAGTGACGATTCTGTTCAATAAATAAGGTGGAGAATTGTCAATGAAGAATTCAACTCCAAGCCTCTATGGACAAGCACACACACACACACACACACACACACACACACACACACACAATGGTAAGAAAGGTTATGGAACATGGGATATGTCCCAGAATAAATGGGTAATGGAGGCAGCAGAGGCTTACTCAATGCAACACATCATTTTTTTGCAGGTTACTGTGTTCTCCTCTGCCTGTGTTCTGTTTACCGTATTTGCTAGTTCATTGCACTCAGTGAACTCAGGCTAAGGCCAACTAGAACCATTAATTTCTAAATGGCACCATTTTCTTCCTCCTGTGCTGCAATAGTAAACCCCTAATATCTGCTTGAATCATTTTTATTTTTAAGGAAGTTGTCAGAGGGTGTAGGCACTGCCAAATCAGCAGTTCCTCTCATTGTAGAGGTTTCTATTCATCATTCGCTCAGTAGTTTTAGCTTTCTGTCAGTCTTAATAATTATCCTGGTTGATTGTTTTATCACGCACTATAAAATGGCAACATATATCTATGGTGGCAGTTTTTCTATATAGTAGTTGAATTTTTCTAGAAGGATCAATTTAGATTACTCTGTGATATAATTTGTATGTGAACAATGAGATAAAGACTCATTTCTTTCCTCTCTTATACTTTGTTAGAACAATGTATTGGTGCCCTGGAAACATAGGAAAATAAGAAAGAGGAGTTAATGTGATGTCTTTGTAATGAAGTGAGTCTTAATGTGTCTCCTAACTCTGTCAACAGATGGTAACACCAAAGAGCATTGATTAATTTTAAATGATAGAAATGCCCTTTTAAGGGTCTATAGAAATGCTGGAAGGAGGAATCTGTCTATCTCAATGAGTGGCAGCCAATCTTCATTCAGTTTGACTGATTTTTCTGTCTTGTCTTCATTTGTTCTTCTGGGGAGAACTTTGAGAGTGGAGCGGTTCCATTTGTGTTAGGATGCTTCTGCTGTTTGCTTCCTGGTTGATTACTGGTTATGTGACAGTCTTATATTTCTCCTATTTGCTGATTGAAAATATGTAGCATTATATTGGGGAGAATAAGTTCACATTTGTAGGACCCTCATTATGGGGTGCCTTGCATTCTTTTGTCAATTACATAAAGCTAATTGTTGAACTCTTTATATTACAATATTTTAAAATTCTTCTAGAATCAGCTGACAAAACTGCTATTGATAGTTATATCATTTATTGCTATGTTTTTATTGTTGTGAAAAAAACATCTTAATCAACAGCTATTTAAGAAGGATGGGGTTTATTTTAACTTTCAGTTCCAGAAGGACAGAATCAAACAACAG